CATTCGCATTCTAAATACAAATTTTCACACAGCAAAATTTGAGGAATCAAAAATCATAACCGAACAAATTAATGATTATGAAATTGTCACAAATAACCAAGTTAATAATAACAGTAGAAAAAACAGAAATCTTAACCATATTAAATAAACAATTTCCAAGTCAATTTAAAAATACCTTAACAAACCTTTGTTAAAAATTCACTGATATTTTTGGTTTAGAAACTGAACCGATAACAACTAATAATTTCTATAGCCAAAAATTGCAAGTTAAAGATAATACACCCGTATATATTAAGAACTATAGAGTACCGCATACTCACAAAGATGAGATTGACAATCAAGTGAAAAAATTGATAGACGATGGAATAGTCGAACCATCACACTCCGAGTACAACAGTCCAATCTTACTAGTACCAAAGAAGCCACTACCAGGCTCTAAAGAAAAAAGATGGAGACTAGTAATAGATTACAGACAACTGAATAAAAAACTCGTCGTAGACAAGTTTCCACTGCCAAGAATAGACGACATCCTAGATCAACTTGGCAGAGCAAAATATTTCTCTTGCTTAGATTTAATGTCTGGATTCCACCAAATAGAACTGGAAGATAAATCTAGAAATCTTACGTCATTTTCAACGTACAATGGATCATATAGATTCACTAGACTTCCATATGGACTAAAAATAGCACCTAACTCATTCCAAAGAATGATGACATTTGCTTTCAGTGGTTTAAAACCAGATCAAGCTTTCTTATATATGGACGATTTAGTCGTATTAGGATGCTCTGAGAAGCACAGGCTTTCAAATTTAACTAATGTCTTTGAATTATGTAGAAAACACAATCTCAAACTACACCCCGAAAAATGTTCATTTTTTTAAAACGGAAGTAACATATCTAGGACATAAGTGTACTGATAAAGGGATACTACCAGACGATAGTAAATATTCAGTAATCAAGAATTATCCACAACCTACTGACGCAGATGGCGCACGAAGATTCGTAGCCTTTTGCAATTACTATCGAAGGTTTATCAAAAACTTTTCGCACCATTCTAGACACATTACGAGACTAACAAAAAAAATGTACAGTTCGAATAGACTGAAGATTGTGAAAAAGCATTTAATTATTTGAAGAAAGCATTAATAAGCCCAACATTACTGCAATACCCTGACTTCGGGAAAGAGTTTTGTATAACTACAGACGCAAGCAAGTATGCTTGTGGGGCAGTTTTAACTCAAGAGCACGAAGGAAAACACCTACCAGTTGCATATGCATCCAAATCCTTCACAAAAGGAGAAAGCAATAAATCCACCATTGAACAAGAATTAACAGCAATTCACTGGGCTATTACACACTTTAGGCCATACATATACGGTAAACACTTTCTTGTCCGTACGGATCACAGACCACTAACATACTTATTTTCAATGAGAAATCCTAGTTCTAAATTGACTAGAATGAGACTTGATCTAGAGGAATATGAATTCACAGTTGAATATCTTAGGGGCAAAGATAATTATATCGCGGATGCTTTATCGCGAATAACAATAGACAATCTAAAAGAAATGACTGAGTCAGTAGCTAAAGTACTCAGAATAACAACACGTTCAATGACACATAAAAAAGACACAGCATGCACAGGTAGTAAATTAAATAAGCATCATCATATATATAATAAGCCCAATATATACGTTCCTTTAAATAACACTGACGTCAGGAAATATTGTAAATTAAAGATTACCCCTGAAAGATGTTACATCAAAAGAGGTAAATCGATAATTGCGTATATATATATCAATGATTTATTTACTAATGAGAAATTTGTCTTAGGTCAATTTTTCTCAAGGCTCGATGAAGTGGCCGGTAAATATAAAATTGATAGACTACAATTGGCACCAAACGAGAAGATTTTCGAATTTATCTCGATTATTTATTTTAAAAATAAGGGCAATGAAATATTAAATCAAGTAAAAGTAGCGCTACTGAACAAGGTGATCCAAATTGATGGCAATGCTAAAATTAAAAATATCTTAAAAAGATATCATGATGACCCAATTGAAGGAGGTCACTGCGGAATTTATAGAACCACCGAAAAAATAAAAAAATACTACTATTGGAAAAACATGACTAAAGATATTAAAAAATACGTAAAGTCATGCCATAAGTGTCAAACTACAAAAACATTAAAACACCTGAAAAATCCAATGACTATTACAAAGACACCGGTACAAGCTTTCGATACGGTATTCGTTGATACCATCGGTCCATTTCCAAAATCGATTAACGGAAATGAATATGCAATCACTATAATATGTGACTTGACAAAGTACCTAGTAACAATACCTATACAAGACAAATACGCAAAAACAATCGCAAAAGCTATATTTGAACATTTTATTCTCGTTTATGGTCCAATGAAGACGTTCATTTCGGACATGGGAACATAATACAAAAATGCGATACTTACGGAATTATGTGAATTGCTCAAAATAGAAAAAATAACTTCTACAGCACATCATCACCAAACCCTCGGTACTATAGAAAGGAGTCACAGAACATTCAATGAATATGTTCGCTCCTACATATCAATAGATAAAACCGACTGGGATGAATGGCTTAAATATTTCACATACTGTTTCAACACGACACCATCAACAGTACATAACTACTGCCCATATGAATTAATATTTGCTAAAATACCTAATAGTTTCGAACAATTTAGAGAGATAGATAGAATTACCCCATTATATAATGTAGATGATTACGCTAAGGAAGCTAAATTTAGATTAGAAGTAGCTAGTGTAAGGGCCCAACACTTAATAAATAAACAAAAAGAAAAACAAAAATTAGCTTATGATAGAAATACTATACCCTATAATTTTAAAATAGGAGATTTAGTTTTATTAAAAAATGAATCAGGACATAAGTTAGAACCTCAGTATAAAGGTCCATTTACCATAAGAGATATACTTTTAAGAGGAAATGTACAAATAATAGACAATAAATCCAATAAAAACCAAATAGTTCATAGGAATAGACTTAAAAAGTACAATAATTAAAGAAATAATAATAAAAGGAAAAACAAGAAAAACAAAAAGAAACTGATAAAAGTCAAAAACAATATTGTAAAAGAATGTCCATAAAACTACAGTCATATGAACATTCTTATTAAAAAGGGAGGTGTAGTGTGTAGTATGCAGTGTGACTTTTAAAGAACAAACAAGTCGAAGCAAACTAACCCAAATCATTTCACAATTCAACTCGCACAAATTAATATCAAATATCATTATCAAAAGACCTTGATGGCATTCTTTGTCACTTCAGCTCATTACCACTTAAACCATTTCACTTTCAATGCCAAGACCACCCAATGCCTAATTGCCGACAAAGCAGTCTTTGTCATCAACGGCATGGTCACCGCTTCTATTATTCTTTACACCTGAGTAGTAGAATACGTAGTGAATGTAGCCCTATGCACGGACAACTTCTGAGATACTTCGCCGACCTAAACGGGGTTAGATCG